ATTTGCTACATATTTTCGTTTCTGGTATACTACTTTAAGTATTTATCTCCAGTACTTACAAATTAATCTATAACAGAATAATTATAGGATAATAAAGATTACACTAAAGAACTTTCTACGGTTGGGTGATAGGATAAGGAAAGGTGAATGATAACAGGGGTAGGAATTTAATTTTGTAAGTTTCGGGAACAATGCCGAAGAATCGAGTACTCGATCAAGTGACGCCGGGCCTAAACGTGGAATTTCGGTTCGAAGGAAGTTCTTAGACTTGCACGTCGTTTCATCTCGTACACGTAACAGTAGCGTGCATCACAGGACAAAAGCGGAAGAACGATGACTTATCTCGAGACGTTTCCCGCTGCGCTTTCCCGACTCCACTTCTAACAGCGAGGACGCTATTCGTTGGAAGTCGCGGCGACGAATACGAAATCCATCGGAAACGGAATCGATGCGACGTACGATGTGTACTATGTATGCCAGACTCCGTTGCATCTATCTACATACATCTTTTGGAAATAAACCGATGCTGAACGACTATCGTGCATCCCCGAAACTGTACGCTCCATCCGAAACATTAACTCTCGCGCACGTGCGCCTTTCAGAGAAGATTCCTAACCTGGGTAATGTAATGCGAGGAAAGAGAATGTTATATACCTACCGGAGAGGGAACTGAATATTTCATAAAACCATCCTGGTACCGAGTAGTCTTCATAACCCGATAGTAAAATATTCGGGTAATCAATATTAAAATAAGCTCGTCCTGATTGTAAATATTCATTTCACTCTTGCAGACATTCATTTTGTGTAAATTTTCATTATGAAACGTCATACAAGATATAATTTCCATACCGTTTTACAAATTTCTCTTAAAGCAATTTTCATTAATTCAAGACAATCGAAAATTCATCAAAGTATTGTACAATTATGTTAATGTTGAAGGTCTGGAACTAATGTTTCAACATTCATCTTAGGAAAATTTTTATTTGTATCAACTAGAAATATAAACTGCTACGTCTTGCGTGTGATTTGAAAAAAAAATATTACAAAACAAAATTTAATGAATGAGCTTGATATGATAAAATTAAACTTGAAAGAATGCCAGCATTCACACGACATGTCTGATAATATTCTAGAGAAATTACACATAGCTGAATATTTTCTATAATTAGTCACGTTATCAGATGGGAAGCGAATATGCTACCAGACTGAAGGGTTTCTGGTCTCCTGCATCCTTTAATTACCAACACGAAATACGCTACAGAACACGCTACAATATCTATTACATTTCATCTCTTACTTTACGTTATATTTCCTCTCTCTCATATTCAGATTCGTTTTTTCGAAATTAGAAGTAAAGAATGTTCGAGGGACTTTTTAAGACTAACAAATCTAACTGACTAAAACATCCAATAATTCTTCTTTAAACTTCGTGAACAATTCAACACTGCATATTTACATAACAGTATAATAACAGTAATTATTCCTTCTATCTCTATAATGGACAAAAAATGGACAATATCAGCTTCAAAGAAACCGGAATTCAAAGGTATAAAATTGTATCACATGCGCACAAAGCTAATATGTAATAATGTGTTCATAAACATGTTCCACGATAAGGCTTCCATGATAAGCGTCCGAATACTTCGATGTTATGTTGTACATAGCTGAGGGTTGCCGTGTCGGGTCACTTCGGTTCAATCTCGAGGCGGTACGTGCACGCTACACCACATAGCCAAGACCGAATGTACCCCTGGCCATAAAACGTACCACCGATTCTTAAATCGATAAACTGGGCTAACCTTTTTACTTTTGCATTTACCGCCGAGCGATAAACCTGGCCAACTTTCTACGCGCTGAGTCTTCACCTTTGAAACGCGTCGTGTTTTACAAAGATCGAGAGAGTGACAAGAAAATGCTTTTTACTGTAACATCATGTTCATCCAATTTAACGATTTGTTAGTTAACTATGTGTAAACTAAATATTCATCGTACGTTCTAAATTTTTTAATATCATTAATGGATTTTAGTATTATTTAATATCGTCCAATACTAGATAATATTATTTCAATAGTATTTAATATCATTTTTAACTAATGATTTTATTTTCCTCTTTCTAAAATAATAACATGTTCAGTTATGTATATATCATGATAATGGTTTGTCATTAAAATATACACAGAACTACAGACTTGCAACGCGACAATACATATAAATGTATGTGCTCAGTAATGTTACGGTTAGATACAGGAGAAAAGAATAATTTTTGTACATAAAAAAACGTATTGCGACGCATTACGCAAGGGATGGGCAAACCCGACCGACTGTTACGAACCCTTTTCTTCCCTGTTTCATGCAGAGTCGGCGGTGGTCTGCTGCAAACAATGGCCGAAAGAATCGTCTAGCTATAACGCAACGAGCGTAGTAGCAGACGGGACTGACAAGTACCTACCGGCACGCTAATATAGAAGGAACAATGCGACATCGACGGAAGGAAGAGAGAGAAGGAGAAAGGAGGAGAGAGAAAGTTCTCTAGAGTGCTCTTGAAACAATTAACGGGCACCGCCGTTAATCTCCCCCTGCCGGTGGTTCGAACCCTCTATATCGCGGCAATCCTCATCAGGATTCGCGGAGATTTAAAAAGTTTCGGAATCAATCGAGTCGGTCTTCCGCCTAACACCCTAAAACGGTTAGCCGAGCTAATTTCGAACGTCAAGGCAGATCAACGAGTGATGTTAATTAACGACTGAGATTAGCTATTGAAAATATGTGTCAGCTGGCTTGACGATAGCGAAGTGTAACAGTATGTCGTTTCTGCTTCGGCGTAATGACTATTGATTTTCGATAGTGAATTAATAAATGTTCAGTTAAAGTGACATGCGGTCTGTAAACCTGACTTTCATGTATGAAATTGGCACATGCGTTAAAATCACATTTTAGAAATTCCTCTTAGAAATTCCCAATTTACTAAAATTTTATAAATCTGTACATAATATGAGTTATGGAATACGAATCAAATATTCTTTCAAGCTGACCATCAGAATCAAATGAAGGGATGGTGAAATATCAGATCGTTTAGTTCGAAGCCATCTAGTATGAGAAGGAAGGCAGGAAAAATCGTCGATTTCATAAGAACCATGCTGACGTCGGAAATCCTTTGGACGCGACCCGTTCAATCAGACATAAGAAACGGTTGAAAAGTATACGACATGAAGCGGCGTCCTGGGGGCAAGATACTTCGTATAATAAGTAGCTGTCCCGCGGAACAGATGGTTCAATTTATTACCGGCTTTGGCCGAGCAATCACGGCCGATAATTAAACTTCTGAAATTCGCCGGAGACCTACGAAAAGTGCTGGGTAAGCGGAAACTGTGTCCCGCTATCAATTACGATGATAAAAACTTGTTAAGCTCGACTTTCAGATACCGATACGGATATCGATCTATCTCGACGGTAATATAATATTCCTGTAAGAATGATATTCTTAAAAAGAATTCCCATCATATTCTAAAAGGAAGTGTAATAGTTTATTCTTATCTCTTAAGAGAAATAAACAACTAACTGAAAGGTTTCAAACAAAATCATCCCTTTCAATTTTTATATTCATCGAGCAGTATTATAATCCCTTTTCAATTTTCACACAATGAATATTAATGTCTGATGAAATTATGTTCTTCAATAAAAATTGATGATAGGTAGATTAGAAAGAATAAGAAAGGCTATCGATGTTATAGATAACGAGAACTAAACCATTTTCTCGGTCGTTAATTCATAAATCTCATTGCTTTCAATAAAATTCATTTTCTTACGAACACCCCAGCCACTATTTAATATCATAAATATGAAAGAAACAGGTTCGCATTACATTTAGATACGGTAAAGCGAAATATTTCGCTGGATTGGATGCAAGTGGATGAAATAGAAAATTCTAGTAATTTAGAAGTTTTTTACCAGAAAAAGTGGACTTACCTTTGCCATGCACTTGCTGCCTATTCGTGTCAGCGCGCAGCGCTTCTGCGGTGTGCACCAACTCGTCCAGCTGCGGCTTTTTCTGCCCCAGCTCCCGCAGGACGTCCTGCACAAACAGACACTTGTGAATTAATACTATCACGAAAATTATGTGCGAACACTTTAAATTGTCTACACCGTTGTACTTGCACTTAAAAGATAGAGCGAATGAAAGTGAAATGCACCACCATACTTTCATGTACTATACATTCTATACGAAATATGATCAAACTATCTACTATTTATCTACTAAAAT